ATTAGTTGTAACTCTTGAACTCGCATTTGTTAATTTTATTTTCATTTGTACCCTTGATAATGGCGTCATGAAGTCGCTGAAACATCGGGATATTATATCGTTCGTTTTTACCTGTCTATGTAATAGAACTTTGTTTTTCACATTTCAATATATTAATTGTAGATACTGTAGAACTACACTACTTACCTAGAATGATTGATTTTGCTTCCCAGCTCGCCTTCATTCAGTGACAATAGATGAAGAGACACAAACTCCTTTGCCATCTGAAGAGAGAGGAGTTCTGTTGAACATCAGGGCACATCCTGTCTCTGCTACATTTTGTATATTCGACGAGTAAGTCACGGGTTGCTGTACTGTCAAACAGGTCTTGTTACAAGATACATTTTCCACTAAAGACAAAAATTGTCTTGACTTTAGTGTAAAATCCAGCCAAACTTGATTTTTTCCCCTCGTAGCACAGTATTGTTTGTCGACCCAACCGATGAAGAAGAAAATCTAGTGACAGGAATTGTGACAGTGGTCCTCACAGATGATGATAAAATTGCTGCAGTTCATAAACCAGGTAACGTGTGCTTCAGCAATCTGACAAATGAGGAGTGACCAATAAACTAATGCTTTTAACTTATGACAGAATTCATTTGCAACAACAACAACAACAACAACAACAATCATCAAATGCAAACCGTAACTATGCTTGATAGCCATTTCAGTCATTGAAGGGACGATGGTTGGGAGAGAACTTTTCATCTCATTGTTGTTGTTGCTGTTTTTTTTTTTTAGGTGGATCACCCCTAGCTGATGATAAACTACAGGAATGCTTCAAAGTGGCCTTGATAAGTTCAAAAGAAGTCAGAGACCTTACAAAAACAGCTTGTATAAATGTTGACAGATGATGCAACATCCTATGAAATCTTGTTATTAAAAAATATTCTCCACATAACAACTTCATTATTTTATTTATATATTTAATGTAAATCTACTAATTTAGTAGATTTTGACAAAAAGTCCAAGATTGGAGGCTAGTGTCCTAAATCAGACATGCAGGCCCAAAATCATATGGAAATGTTACAAATCAGATTGTAGTGTCCCAACTTGGATGGGAGTGTCCAAAGTTTCACAGAGGTGTCTTAAATCAGACGGTAGTGTCTGAAGTCCAAGGAGAGTGATTGAAATCACACGAAACAGTATGAAACTCTAGGGAACCATTTATCATCTGACATTAGGTCCATTTCTAGCATTTTTCATGTCTCAATCAATTAGTTTCTGCTGGGAAAAAAATTCTCTCAGTATAAAAATCTTGGTGGAAAGTTTGGGGGATGGGGAAGGATTCTGACTTTGTTTCACTTACTGCTCTAGGACTAAATATAATGTTGTCATTTTAAAGAAAAGAAATACAGACACTAGAGAGTAATGTGTACTCTTTCCCTCTACCAGTAATTTAATTTTAATAATATATACATCTCATAGTCTGGGAGCAAATGTCATAAAATAAGGTCCCCATGTGAAGTTCGTGCTGAAAGCAAGCACCTAGTGTAAAAGCGTTCATTAGGTCTTCCTAAACATGAAAAGTTTTGGTGCCAGCTTTGCCACTTGCTCAGACGGTTTTTAAGAGGGGGGGGGGGGTTAAATTTTGACTCATGAAATCTAGCATGAAAACGAGGCTAAAACACATAATTCCTCATAACTTTGTTAATAACAGACGAAAATACACCAAACTTGCTCACATGATTGGGCATGATTTATGCTAATTTACATAGGTCACGTGATCTTGCGCATGAAAGCGAGACTGAAACACATAATTTACTATACATTCGTCAAAAAAAAACCTTATCATGCCAAACTTGCTCACCTTAGTCAGTTAGACACTTTGTAGTGTCACGTGACCCCATACACGGAAATGAGGCTGGATTGCAAAACACACCAAAGGTGAACACATCATCCGGGACAATAACGTTTGTAATGCATATTAATGCTGTATGTATAGCATTTGAATTAAAAAAATAAAAGCTAAAAAGGTGTAATGATAATGTATTTCGTGTGGCTTATATAACTTTATTATGAGCGATTTCTACAATCCCATTTCGCGCAAATTCGCTTGCTTGTAAAGTATAATGATTTACAAGAGCTCCACATAATCTTCGACAGATATGAACAAGAGGTTCCCTTCTGTGCTGTTGGTGGTGATACTGCGTTGGAACACCTCAACTGATCGATGAAAGTTTCTGTTGGGCTTGTAGAAATCACTTTGAATGAGAGCGCACGAGCCAAGTTTTTCCTCATTGCCCCAGAACTAGCCCGACTCACAGTAGAAGCCAGGGCAATGGCGGGTCTCGTTTCGGAACGTGCACACCATCACGAACTAAACTCAGCTGTTTTGACGCATGAAGATAACAGCATAAATAAGTAGACCGAGACAATCAAGACCTTCACCAATCCCTTTTCATCAGACCAGAGCACCAACACCGATCTGTACAACTTAGTCACAAAAGTTGTGATGAATGAGAAAACGAAGAAAGATCTTGTTAATCAAAGTGAAGAAGGGAGAAAGCTATTCAGTGCTTTTGTACAAGATAGGATCAAGACAGGAAAGATCAACCTCTGGGCTCCTGTAAAGAAGCGGAATCTTCTTACCTGGAAAACGAGTGCTAAGGTCATCAAAGTCAAAGCTAAAGACACGATCATCGAGTTAAAGGAGGACAGAAATCTGTTTGCTCGTTTGGCGATGGTGTGCAAGAGCCGCCCAGAAATTGAAATCCAAGAGGCTTATATGAGTTCACTGTTGTCCCAAGATCTTTGTTTGCACGAAATGGTACTATGTTGCATTGTTCTTGTAAGAGTGCCCTGACGCATATCCTAGAGAAGGCAGGTGGCCCTAGTACTAATACACAAGAAATCACTGCAGGATTCAAAGTAGTGATTGTTGATGGAATGGCCGAAGTCCAATCACTTGACAAGCCAGAGTGGATCAAGAACTGTAGAGACTTGGCTGAACATTTCACGAATCGTTTGCTTGTAAAGTATAATGATTTACAAGAGCTCCACATAATCTTCGACAGATATGATGTACCATCCTCGCTGAAATAAGCAACACGAGTCAAACGACAAGGTGGCCAATTGCTCCCATTTATTATCGCCTTATTGATTCTACCCACATCGCCAAGGTGCCGATGAAGAAGCTTCTTGTCCATTCAAAGACCAAGGGCGAACTTACTATGTTTCTTGCAAAGAATGTGAAGGATAATGCTAATGGGAGACAAGTCGTTGTGGCGTGGGGAACGGAATGTGAGGCAATGCACAGAGACGTCAGGCATTTACGAGGTACACAAGAAGAAGCCGACACGAAGATTATTTTACATGCTCTGGATGCCTCTGCTCAAGGTCAGTGCTACCCCACCATATATTCTCCTGACACTGATGTTCTTGTTTTGGCTCTCCGACGGTATCCAGATTTGTGCTCGAACTCTTGCTTTGTTACTGGGACGGGCAGTAGTCGTAGAGTTATCAACTTGAAGTCAATCGCAGACGCCCTTGGGCCCACTAAGACGGCCGCACTGCCAGCATTTCATGCGTTGACTGGAGCAGATGTTACTGGGAGTTTCTCTGGAAAGGGAAAAGCCACTTGTTGGGATGAGTTTGATAACGCCAGCACTCCTATCTTGCAAGCTCTTGCTAACCTCAGTTGTGGGGAACAGCCAGATGACGGCACAAGAAGTGGAGTGGAACAGCTGGTTTGTCGGATGTACCAAACAAAGACAGACATCAAAACTGTCAAAGCCCTCAGATGGTCCCTCTTTAAGAAAAATCAAGCTGAGTCTGAGAGGTTGCCGCCCACACAAGCTGCTCTCCATCAAGCCATACTGAGAGTGCACTACCAGCTTCTTGTTTGGAACAACGATCAAGTAGCAAACCCGGTGTTGCCCTCACTAGAAGGCTATGGATGGCAAGATGAAGATGGAAAGTGGGCACCAGTCATGACAAATCTTCCACCAGCTCCAGAGGCAATTCAACAGCTTGTCCGATGCAAGTGCTCCAAGTCCCGTTGCTCTAACAACCGTTTTCAGTGTCAAAAGCCGGACTTGTCTGTATTGATCTCTGTCTGTGCTCTGAAGATTACCAGAACGAGTATGGTGAGAGTGATGATGAGTATGATGAGGACGAAGTGGAACAGGAAATTCCATAGGAATGGACAACTGAACAATGTATATAGATATTCAGTAAAACTTTCATGACTTTATATATAAAATAGCAGTACTCGCTATTTTCATTTTCTGCCCTTGTTCCGATATACATGCGAAAATGAATACATGGAACCAGTATCAAAGTTGGCAAAATTATTGTGTACAAGATAGATTTTCAAATGGAGCCTCCGCAGTATTTCCTTTATCCGTCTCGTCCCTGTGCTATGGGCCATAGGACAATGATTAGTTGAAGTTTTTATATCTGAACTCGGATAACCAGATATGTATCTGCCTAGTAGTTGTTAATACATTTGGCAAGACAAATGCCATCCTACACCTTGCTACCAGATATATCCAGCCTCGTTTCCATGTATGGGGTCACGCGACACTACAAAGTAGCACCAATCGATGCAAGATGTCTGACTAAGGTGAGCAAGGTTGGCATGATAAGGATTTTTTTGACAAATCTATAGTAAATTATGTGTTTCAGTCTCGCTTTCATGCGTACGATCACGTGACCTATGTAAATTAGCATAAATCAACAGGGAGGATCATGCCCAATCATGTGAGCAAGTTTGGTGTATTTGCGTCGGTTATTAATAAAGTTATGAGAAATTATGTGTTTCAGCCTCATTTTCACGCTGGATTTCATGGGTCAGAATTTAATCCCCCCTTAAAAGCGGTCTGAGAAAGTGGCAAAGCTGGCACCAAACGTTTTATGTTTAGTAGGTCCTAATGAATACTTCTTGCTTTCAGCACGAACTTCACACGGGACCACATTTGCTTCCAGACTATCAGCCGAGATACAACAATTGACTCTAGTTGAAATAAATAAATTCTATTTTGACAGCAAACACTACCTTCTAATACCTAGTGAAGAACACTTCCCAAGTGTCTTTCTACAAGCTCGTATAAAAGTCTTTGTGTACAATTTAATCATGATAAATATTATTCAATAAGTTATTTATTCTGCGATCTTCGTCGCTGTGCAGGGGATCTTCCTGGCGCTCTGGCTGTTGTTTGTGCTCCTTGCGTTTGTTGAGTTACTTTGACTGTTGTGACTGGTTTTCCTTGAATCTTGTAAAGGAATAAGAAAAGTCGTATTCAGAAATTCTGCGAATGATCTAATAGACCTGTGTAGAGTTTATTAATTTCCTGGGCTTCCTGACTGGGAAGTGAGATAAGGGCTTATTGAAAAGGACAACATACTAGAATGGGGCCTCATTAAAGGAAGAGACCTCTGAATGGGAACTTATTGCATAGGAATGTATTAGAAGATTGTTCTAGGAGGAGACGTGTCATAAATGGGAACTTTTTGGAAAAAGAGAAGCACTACTGTGTGGAGTTATTAGAGAGTGGTTTATGAGAGAGGGGGACTTATAAGAGGGGGGACTTGTTAGAGGGAGGGACTTGTTAGAGGGAGGGACTTGTTAGAGGGGGGACTTGTTAGAGGGGGGGCTTATACATGTAAGAGAGGAGGGCTACTAAAGAGGGGGCTTATTGGAGAAGGGGCTTTTGACAGGGGGGCTTTTAGAGAGGGGGTTTCCCGGTATTAGAAAGGGGGTTATCAGGGAGGGGGGTTTATGAGAGAGGGGGACTTGTTAGTCAAAAGTGCTTTTAGAGGAGGGCATATTAGAGAGGGGGAACTATTAAATCTGGTGCTTTAGAGAGGAGAGCTTATTAGAGAACGGAACTGATTACAGAAGGGGACTCATTAGAGAGGGGGACTTGTTAGAAATAGAGAGAAAGATGGGGGGAGGGGTCATGACAAACTTTGTGATGTATTTTTGTTGTTGTTGTTGGTTTTTCTATCTTTGACATAAAGATAGAAAAGTGCAATTGATCCCTACCTGTTGTAAACCCTGCACCACTTGAGCTTGCTGCGTGTTTATTTGGACGGGGGTTGCTCCTCTGGGTGCCTGAACAATAGTGGGTTGACACTGTATCTGGGTGGGGCCACCTTGCTGTGGGAACTGCACCATTCGTACCTGGAACGGCTGCTGCTGAAGCTGTGTTCCAATTGGTACCAGAGGTTGCAGGTTTGTAGTGGTTCGGTTGACAGTGGATGTTAGTGCAGCAATGGCCGTTGGTGATGTTCCAGCTCCTAGTGGGAAATTGATAGTTACGTTTAGTTTCTCAACACCATTGTGAACTGATAATCAACAATGGTACCAAATTGCACTCTAGACCAATTAAACCCCAAAGTAGAGCAAAACTAAAGCCGTTCCTTTCAATGATCGATAGCTTAATTAATTACTTAAAGTTGCTTTAAAAAAATACCTGCATTTATCTTCCTTTGCTGTTGTTGTTGTGGAAGAATGGGTCTTGTATTCAGTGTAACTGTAGTCATGGCTGAGGGAGGGGAGAGTGGTGTGTTCGGTAGAATAGGCTGCGGTTGACCAGCAGGGGTACCCTGAGGAGACGTTTTTGCCTGTATCTGAGCACTGATGGTTGCTCCAGTTACCGACTGAATGTGAGTTATTGGAACCAAGTTACCAGGAATCTAAGGAAGAAGAAGGAATATCTAAAGATGTTGCAATTCTTCATCTCTTCATCTTCAGTGCACAAAGAGCTGGAATAAGCCGTGACAGAAAATTTATCATAATACTTTTCCACTAAGTCCAAGGAAATTACCATTCAGCATTCTTGTGGTTATTTGACTAAACTAAAGATTCACTGAACAGAGTTGCTAGTCTGAACTTTTCAATCAAACCACATACGGTGAAAGTTGTAGAGGGTGATCTTGTCTGATGGACTATCTGAGCTTGTTGTGTTTGAATGTTTGAGGTGCCCTGTAAAAGGACATAAAAAGAGTTAAAAGAAGAAGGTTTTGTCGCTAAATAACTTGACACGACCTCTAGTGAAGCGTCTGGACAAGAAAAATGGCATCAATAAATGAGGATAAACTTATTTTGACCTGTCAATGACGACTAATTACGAGCTTGGGGGTTTTATTGACGTTTTCAGTAGGAGGAAAACTGGTTTTCACAGACTTATAACATCACACGTACAGCACTATGTCTCTTGCGGCAGCAAAGGCTTTTTTGTTTCTGACAAATTCAAAGTCAGCTGACTTTTCTTTGAACCAAGGGGGAGGGGACAGGGGGAGGAGTAGGGGGAGATAACCTTCGATGGACACGAATCCCATCCAAGAGAAAGCAAGGCTGTGCTCTAAGGAAAATTGCAGGGTGCCCAATGGTTCTCATTTAGGAAATCTGGGGTGCCCAACTCCAAAAAGCTCTCATAAAAATGAAGTTTAACACTCAAGTCGCCCAAACACAAAACTTGGTCACCTGAGGCACCAGCGCCCTGTTAGACCACAGCCCTGGAAAGGGAACAGCAATACTCCTTGTTCTAAACCGTCTCACTTTCAAAACGAGGCAACGACGAGTTTCTTTGCATGATTCGAACAATTCATTTCACACAGAAAAGGCTTCGCTCTTGGCCTCTTTTACCACGCAGGGTTTGTGCATCTCGGAAATGGCTCAACGGTTTTAGTGCTAACTTCATCTACTTACAGCTGTAGCATTACCTGTAGTAGGGTAAGAGACGTCCCTGGTGCAGGTTGTAAGGTTTGATTGGCTGATTTCAAACCTGTCGCGATGAACTGTGTTGGTAATGGACCGGAAGCTATGGCCACACTGTTGGACACTGGAACGATGGGTGTGGCACCTGCTACCGTAACAGTCGCTCCAGCTGGGACAGTAACACTCATTCCTCCAGGGCCAACAACCGGCTGTAATTGGATGAAATCAAACTGTTTTACAGCCAAATGCTGTATTCAATTTGTAAATTTCTAAAGAAACTGTGTTGCTGCGTCGGTGGAGGTAACAAGGTAATTTGGTAATATCAACTAAGTTAAAATTGTAAATCGACCACCGTAAGGAGTTAGCTTTTTAACTCTTTACAGTGGCCAATTTACAATTTCAACTCAGTTGATATAATTGTTAAATTTACCGCCGGTTAAGTTATACCGTAACATTCCTTTGTGGAAGAAGCAGTAGTCCTAGATGCACATTACGACAAAAACCAATGCAAGCTACCGCAGCGTAAGCCACTTGTCTCAAATTTAGCCTTTCTATATCATAGAGTCACCTGCACGTAGGCTCCCACAACTCCTGTGTATCCCCCACTAGGTGTAGTCGGTGACTGTAATGAGGTAGCAGTGTCTGGATGAGAAATTCTTCTCCCTGTTGTTGGAACGGACTTGACAGTGGAGGAAACAGGAACAGGTTTTACGTTTGAGACTTGAAGTGTTGTTCCTGGCTGTGCTGTCGAAATGTACTGTGTAACTGTGCCTGAATAGTATAATAACACTTCCAATAGGTAACTGTCATCAAGCATAACGAGTCAACAGACTGTAATGGGTAAAGAAATGATCCTGAAAGAGAAGCTGGAGAGAGAGAGAAATTGCAGAAAAGAAACTCAGAAAAATTGTTCAGTCTTCGACGGAAACCCTGAATTTTTTCACATTTCTTTTCTGAAATTTCATCAATTCCAGCTCACCTACAAAGATGATTTCTTTGCTTATTTATCCCCTGCAGGTCAGAAAATGGTCGTAATAATTATGCCACAATACCCTGGTTTATCTGCAAAATATAGGCATACAAAATGTCGGCATACAACTTAAACAATACCTGCTGTAGAAATCTTAGTTGTTCCACTGAGGGGCACACCAGTTCCACTTGAAACTGTGCCAACCACTGTTCCTCGCTGCTGAAACATTGCCAGCTTTTGGCCATAAGTTCGGACATTCGAAAGACTTTGTACAACAGGAACTTGAGACACTGCAGAGTTACCAGGTAACGTGGTATGGGAACCTATTCCCAAATTATTACTCTGAATTACAGTGACAGTCTTTGTGGCTGTCGGTAGAGGGATTGCCACCTTTCCCTGTGTCTGCTCTTGCACATTTGGATTTCCGGAAACAGGAACAACAGTGGCTGTTGATGTCTGATTGGTATTGTGTGCATGTGACGCCTGTTGACCAGCGGCTGCAGCAGCCTGTGCCACCTGGTGTTGGCCAGGAATGTAGGTACAAATTTTCACAGACTTACGCCCTTCCTCAGTGTACAAGTCTTGGAACTGCTGAAGATACCTGTGTGATGAATCAAAATAAAATCTTTAGCATACCTTAGTTTAGATACAATGAATATATGAAGTTCATATATTTTGAACTGCGGTTGTAGATACGTATGATGCACGATCCTCGCAGTAGAGAGCGCTATTTATGCAATAGCGAAAATCAGACCTGTACGGGATTCGAACCACTGACCTCTGCGATACTAGTGCAGCGCTCTACCAATTGAGCTAACAAGCCAACTGGGAGCAGGCCGTTAAGTTGATTCGTAATAAATCCGCTCTCTACTGCGAGGATCGTGCATCATACGTATCTACAACCGCAGTTCAAAATGTATGAACTTCATATATTCATTGTATCTGATTTATCATCAAGGGTTTATTACGAATCCAGCGCAGAGGTCAGTGGTTCGAATCCCGTGCAGGCCTGATTTTTTTCAGGTCTGATTTTCGCTATTGCATAAATAGCGCTCTCTACTGCGAGGATCGTGCATCATAGATACCTTAGTTTAGTTACCATGTGGTAAGTTTTTACACTCTTTAACCAAAAAAAGGGTGACTAACAAGTAATTTCTCCTCGCAATTTCAGTACATAATACTTGCAAACATCTGGGCGGTTCAGAGAGTTGCAAAACTCTTGAAATAAAGTTACCTTTCAAATAGGCACTCTTTAAACCCTATGGTATCAACGAATGCTTTTCATTCAACTAATTAATTGTTGTGTTTTCACGTCACTCTCCTACACTGTAGTTTCAGCTTCCTGTATATAAAAAATTCCTCAATTTACTCTCACCGATGAAGGGCTAACGCCCGAAACTTCAGCTTTAGAAACTCCCTACGATGGGCAATTCATATTATCAACTCAGATGATAAAACCAAATTATCTTGCTCAATCTGAAGTCAACTATGCTTCCCAACAGGCACTTCTGCTATAATAAAGTTCTTTCGCACTTAAAATACATGTCTTTTTTTAGCACTAATTGAAATTAAGAAATTAGAAAACAGAGCGATTTTGACTACTCACTTTTGAGCTCCAAGTTTACTTCCAAGAAAAAACTGACATGCTTTTCCTGCCTTGCTGGAAGCCGAAGTGTTTGCGTTTGGGACAGCAGGTGCCCCTTGTGAATTGCTTGTGTCTTCTTCGAGGTATAGTTCACCTAAGTACTGCAGGTCTGTTGGTCTACGCCGAATGGTCACACGGCAGAAATAACTCCTGTTATTGGTCTTTTCTCCTTCTAGTGTGACTTCTTGGACCTTTTCTGGTGTGTTATCAACTGTCAGCTTTGGACGTTCAATTATTTTGGAAAACAAGTCAACCTAAGAAAATACGTAAGACATAAGGTGTGGTAACTGCTCTGGTTTTGCTTTACTCCGGACTGCAATTGGTCCAGAAAACTCGCGCCATTCCCGTAACCAATCAGACATCAAATGAAAACCGATCATGAATTGGTCGCCCGCGATTTCCCGCACTTTGGGTACTTTGCCTGTTATCTACTTGAATCCTGATTGGCTAGTGAGCCGGCAAAGCAGCAAATTCTTGTTTTGATTGCCTATTGTGATGACTTTGGTTTTGGTCGCTCTATATCCAATTGAGAACTGCTCTAAATGTAAAAAATAAATCTAAACTCAAACCAAGTGCCCCATTCAGCTGCAGAAGAAGCATTTGAAGCACATATTGTGCTCCACCTGGGCACATAAATTCTTGAAATTTTGTGGACAATTTAAGACTACAGCTTCTCCAAATGTATGACTGGCATCATTGTGAAAATTAAAGTACACACTAGTTGGATCATGAACTTAATAGCTGTGGGGATTTCTTTTGATAGGACGACTTCTTGATCTGGTCCTACTTTGGCCACTAATTGATTGACAACATTTCCCACTTACATCAACTCTTGCAGGTGGTGTGAGGTGAATTGGCTTTTGTCGCCATGTGTCAGTTGTCTGCGGTGTCTTTGCCAGACGAAGATTGACAGGTGGCTGGGGTTTCTTGTATTGTGACAGGAAATCGAGAACTTTCAGGTAAGACGGAGCATTACAAAGGGACATCAGTCCTGCTCTGTTATAGAATGCTTGGGAGTGTCGTTTTATGCTCCTGAAATATATTAAGCATACAATAATTAGGGTTAGGCCCTGGGTTAACCCATCTGCACCTTTAGCTGACACTGTTCTGCCTGCTACATTTGCAGCAGAAGTCACCAATTTGTGTGGGGTGGTCATGTGGTGAGCTCATCTGCATATATATCCTTGCCACCTAGATCTTTTATTTTTTGCTACTTAACTTTTGATCTTAACTAGGAGATCTCTTAATGATTCTGTCGCTTAATGCCAACTTAATTGGTAAAAGTTGAGCTTAGAACCCTACCTTCTGGCAATAACCAGGGTGAGTATTTATCATGTTTTTTTCTTTTATGGCATCCACAGCTACCACAAAGCTTCAATTACAGATGACTAGTTAAGTTTCAATCAATGAAATGGTCCTCACGAGTGGACTGCAATTTAAGCAACTGCAGAAAAGAAGCCTGAAAAAATGCAAGTTTTGACTGGATTCCCACCTCTGCCTAATAGTTGGACACTGCTTCAATTGAGCTACAGGGCCATGCATATGCACACATAGGCATGGATTCAAATCTCCTTGAAGCCTGTCTAAACTGTGGTCAGATAGGCAAATCCCCCTATTTGAAATTTTTCCTTGGTCTACCACTCTTCTGCCCTACCATGCATTAATGGTGTTTGCAGTAATCACCAATTGGTAGCTCCTAGCTATGACAGGGTTAACACTTTCATTCTCCCTATGAGTGACCAAGACAAAAACTCTCCTTACAATATTAATACATGAGATAGAATAAATATATGAAAATCATATATTTTGAACTGCGGTATTTGATACGTATGATGCACGATCCTCGCAGTAGATAGCGCTATTTAAGCAATAGCGAAATTCAGACCTGAAAAAAATCAGGCCTGTACGGGACTCGAACCACTGACCTCTGCGATACTAGTGCAGCGCTCTAACCAATTGAGCTAACAAGCCAACTGAGAGCAGGCCGTTAAGTTGATTCGTAATGAACCCGTGAAAGTGATAAATGAGATAGAATAAATATATGAAAAAATAAATATTAATACAAGCAGACAAGTGATGAGAAAATAGAAAAACATCAATTAAGGATTTGTTAGTTGATCCACTAACAAATTCTCCAAAATAATGATCATAAGAATTGTATGACAGACAGTAAGGAGAATTACAGATGAGATCTTGAGTGACAGGGTCAAGATGTAAACCCCCCTGTAACAGTTGTTTGAAATCAGTTGAGGGGTTTGCTTACACATACCTTCTGATCCCACAAGTATGGAACTTGTTCCTGTTGAACTGGAGTTGATTTGCAACCTGTGCAACTTCTATTGAAGGATCAAGACACAAAGGGCCTTCTGTTGCTAACAGCAACTGTGATTCCAGTACTAACTTGCCCTCTTCTGTCCAGTTAGGGGACTCGCGAGTCATAGCATTTATGTCACAAACTAGTGTCTGTAGAAGGAAGAGAAAAAGGTTATAGTTATCAAGGCTGTTTTCAGGCTTGTGGAGCTGCTAGTGACTTAATATCTCTTTGTCCTCCAATATCTTAAAGTTTTAAATAATGACCAAGTAACTAACCAATGCAAGAACCAGTGACATGGAGAAACAGAAATTACTTTCTGTAACCGTCGGTAAATTACTGTCCTGAGGATTAAAACACTCGGCCTCGTAGAAGTGTTTGCACCTTTAATCACTCCTTAAGGTTCCTTGTTATATTGCCCTCCTTTTCCATTTAGTCGTTCCATTTATATAGGATGAGTAAAACCATTGACAATAAGATCCTTAAAGCAAATTTAACGCCCTGAAAACCGTTTAGGTTGGCCAAGGTACAACCTTGTCTCGAACAGTGAAAAACATGTGTCACTTGTCCGAGCGAAGACTGGTAACAAATTTCAACTAAATGCCACTGTACAAATCTAATGCGACAGCATTAATGCTTTCTGTGCTTCTTAAACCCTTTTAACTCCCAAAAGTAATTAACAGGTACCTTCTCATAAAATCCCCCCGTCATCCAGCAAACAGGCAATGGTAATACTCAAATTTATCGGGTAGAGGTTGTTACCTTGATCTAACGCCGAATTCACGTCACTAATTTTCAAGGATATACATAACAATGAGAGGCCAGGAGAATTTATGATTAGATCTCAAGAGTTGAAGGGTTTGGTCCTTTCCTCTTTGATTTTATCTTGGACTCTGAATTTGCTCTACACTTGTTTTTGGTTCACCAAAGCAACCAGAAAGCTGGAGGGAAAAATCAGCAGTTTTTGCCTTTTGAATGAAAAACAAAACACTAAAGTGTACCTGGTAAGTTGGGCGAAGTAAGACATAGTTGCTGTCATACGAGTTGCCTGTAGGACTGTGGCGGTAGTCTCGCACTTCAACTATGACACAACCACTATAAAAAATATTTGCCTGAAAGAATAGAGAGCAGTTTTTACATGAGAATACCTTTTGCTCGATACTGACTAGTACCTCTTGTGCAAAACTATTTTTTCTCACTCACTGAAATTTCCTAACATCCCTAGGTTTACATGTGCTTTTTCAGGTTTTTCTTTTCATAAGAGAAGGTTAAAAAAGACAAAGAAAAATATAATTCTTCATTACAACTGTACGGAATGGAATCATAATCCCAGCAGTTATGTATTAAAGGAACTTCATCCTTCAAATTCCAAACTTTGCCGTAACTTGGGCTTATAATTATAATAAATCAGTTAATCCTCATCGAGCAGGTGTAAAGAAGAGCCACGTGTTTTATTGCAGGTAGAAACAGTGATCTCTGTTACAAAGATTGTCTGATTAAACTAAATTTACTTCCACTAAATTATTGGTTAGAATATCTACATTTAGTTTTCTTTTATAAGTCCTTGAAAGGAGATGTAATTTTTACACGGCACTTTGATGAATATTTTTCCTTTCTAAGGGGGTGCTCTTGCCGAGTTAGCTCTGAACTTTATCTTAGAACAAACAGATCTCGCACCTCACTTCTCCATGATTTTTTTCTTCAACAGAATTACCATTTTGTGGAATAGTATTCCTGATGACATTAAGTTAGCTACTTCCCTGGATCCTTTAAGTGCAAGCTCAAATCTTTTTTCTTCTGGCATCTGCATTATGTTTTTGGTGAAGATAATATTCGCTCATACAAATTTATTTGTCCAAAACGCAGAAGAGTGAATATAAGAAACGCATATTCTTGCTAAGATGCTTTTATCTAATCATATATATGTTTTGTTTTTTTAGGTTTATGGGGTTGGGTAATGTGGTTGAACCTTGTTGGGGATGCTATATACTTGTTGTCTAACACCTGTATATATTCTATATGTACAAATCTTGAAATAAATAAATAAATAAATAAACTTTCTGGTTGTTTTAGAATTGGAAGCAATGCAACCATAGACCACTTTCATAAATGGCTGCCGGATTAATATTCTTTTGTTTAAATTTAAATTAGCCTTTCTGGCCTCGTTCTCCAGTACAAAATTAAAAAAAATACATTATCTCAAGCGAGGCCAGAAAGGCTAATTTAAATTTAAACAAAAGAATATCAATCCGGCAGCCATTTTTAAAAGTGGTCAATACCTGTGATTTTTCTAGCAGATCAATCAGCACTGGAGGAAGCTGAAACAGGGAAAAGAAAAGAGCTTACAAGAACATTAGAATTCAGAAGGTGAACCTGGGCACATGCCCTAAGCTGCTGTATCAAGCACATATACTGCTAATATTTCATCTTAAAGCACTGATTATTTAACAATTATTCCATGAGCGCACATTGGTTAAGAAATGATAGATAGCCAACGAGGCACATTGCGCCAAGTTGGCTATAATCATCTCATATCCAACAAGCACGAGTGGAATAGTTGTTTTATTAAAAACACCCCCAAGATATTAGAAAAATCTTACCAAATCTTCAATTTTTTAGCTGACGCTTACACTTGCCATATTTGTAGATTATGGTATATTGGCTCATATACCATTACGGCTAAGCCAATAAAAAGTCTTGAATTGCATTATCCAATGACCCAGTTTTCAATAATAAGCATTATACAGACTTAATTTTCAGACATTAAGCTGTCTGTGGAATATAAGGATTCTGACAAATTCATCTGCATGAAAACTGATAGGTAAACCCTCATTCTTTAGATCTAGAGGCAGGTGAACTTTCTTCCTTGGCCTGGCAGAGATTGTGCATGTGAGGAGAGTGGGAACAAAGGGCGTGTCCAATAATGGGTTAGGGGTGTGGAAAGGGAGGAGAAAAAGGGTTAGCAGCCTTCAGGTAAAGGCAATTGAGAAGTACAATCAATAAAATATGAATCTCCAATACCTCTTGGGCATCAAGGTAGTCCAAGAATTCAGACTCCTGTTGTATAAAAAGAAAATATGTTAAACATGATTAACATAAAAAAAAGAAAGAAATGATTGAAATGAATTTAAAACTTGAAATCTTATTCATAAAAAATTTGACTAACTTCATAAGGCAGCCTCACAGTTTCTGAATCTGGGAAAATTAAGAGAAACACAGGCTTGATTAGATTAATTTCACAAGCAGTAAACATTTTCACTCACCTTTTTTTTTCACTCACAGCTAAATGTATCTCCCTTGTGGCTACGTGTGAACTGTCAGGGAAAGTTGACAAAAAACCTGGGGGGGTAACCTGTGATGGACCAGGATCCCATCCAGGGGGAAGTAGAAATACTCATAATAACCACTGCGGCAGTATTTAAGCACTTACCTGCACCATTTTTGCCTTTAAGCATTAAAGAGTAGCCTTCATTCCTAGGGTACAGGTTTACAACAAGGGTGGAAAGATTGTCTTGAAGAACAACTTTTTCCAGCAGCCGCACTCCATGACAAAAACGCTATTGGGCAAGGCAATAAGAAAAACAAGAGGTTGATTAAATGTTAAGAAAATCATTACAATCACATGATGTCTAAATCATTTTTCACTGTTCAAAATCAAAATAAACCTATCCTACTGCAAGGCATTCAGTTTTTCACACCCAAGATCTCATCAATAATTCTCCTTACTGAATGCTATACAACTCTTTTGATGTTGGTTTGGAGAATTTGGTATTGGATCAACTAATAATTCCCTAATTAATATTTTTCTTTACGCTAATCTCTTGTATGATTGATACTGTATTGGTATTGTTGGGAAAAATTCTGTCTGGGTCACGTGTGGAGGTTAGAGGATTGACATATTTCAAATGACTAAGTGGTCTGCAAAGAGATGTTGACATACATTTTTACACAAAATTAACTTCATATACACTGCAGGAATGTGGTTATATCAGCTTATTAAAAGCTAGACACTAAAAGAGCCAGATTCCACACAGAGATTTTCTTACACCAATACATCATTGTGGCTGAATTTTATTGGGCAAGATCCCTAAATAGAGTCAGTCCTTCCATTTACAGTTCAGCCTATTTATAGAACCTTAGCTACCCTTGCAAAAAACATAATACCAACATCCAATTTCAAGGCCAGTATCACAAGGTGTGATCCTGTCTTTTGTCAACAATCAAATATGAAATGGGAATCTATACAACAGTTTCTAAAGTGCCATTCACACTTCAGTTGTCTGGGAAAAAAAAAAACAACTCTATCCCAACAGGTCATTTGTCTGATACAGATCATTGTCTGTGTAACTATATTATTAATGCAAATTTTAAATCCAGAAGGGACAGAGCAACCACTGTTGTTAATCAAACTAGAGAGTATGTAGCCTCCTGCTATCTTATCCAGTAACTGCTATCTGTTGTGTTGGCTTACATGAGGTAAAAAAGAGAAGAAAACACGTGTAGTCCTTGATTCACAAGTAACTCAACACTATCCACTTCCAAAGACAATATGCATAAATAAATCCAGAAAAATCCTATTTACAACAAACAGAGCCCCTGTCCCGCCTACTGCTTTTTGGTTGCCATGGTAAGTGAAAACATTTTGGTTCAGAAAAAGTCGCCGATTTGGCGACCAGTGTTTATTATGCCGAAACCTTTTTATTAGTGCTCATGTTCTGAAGTGCTATAAATATTCAGTATAAAAATATCATAATCAATATTGCACAAAACATCTCTTTTTTCTGGATATTAAGATTTTCTTCTCTCTTCTTTATGATATTTGGTTGGAAAATGGCAACTTTGAAAAATGCTCAGATGAGGGCCCTGATAGCAGGATAATTTCTCCCAAATGAGCATGTTTTTACACTACATCTTAAAGAGATTGAATGAAGGAAAAAAAAAAAAAAAACAAGAAACACCTCCCACTTACAACAAATGCAAATATTTGAACCCATTCTTGCAAAAATGGCTAAAACGCAGCCATAAAAAATATGCTCTTATGAATTGCCATTGATGGTACACATACTGTAATTCTGTATTTGTCTTGGCTGTACTTTTTCTCGTGACCTTTGTAACTCTAAGCTGCCAGCTACTAGTGTATTGTTCTAAGAATAACAGAAAAAAGAGCAAGTCTGTCTACAAGGACTACTTAACCACTATGACTTCGTGCAGTATCCACAATAGAAACAACAATAAGAGGCCCATAGCAAGATATAACATGTAGGGTTCAGTTTGATCAAAAAAAAATTCAAGTATACCTCTTTGTGATACCACTGCACTATATTTGCATTCCAGTAACATATCAAGTACAAATACTACCAAGAAAAATATTCTACAGATTTACATGCATTGAATGTGTTTCCCATTTCTCTCATCAGCCTTTTTTTTTCAGCCTGTGTCATTTCAACGCTGCAGGTTGTCATCATTATAGACAAAACCAAATCATCTTGTAATAACCATCACTGATGCAGTACCACAGTTTCTTTAAAAGGTTACCCTCTTGATTCATTGTGGCCCATTTTGGTCCCCATGGCAATTTAAAAAATTCTTGGCAGTAAATTTTCTGCTAAAGTAGCCAATTTGAGTACTGGAATAACCAAGTGATTTTGTCTTAAAATTGAGATTAGCATTTGCATCCAGTACTGTTGATATTCTGACATTTTCTTTCACAAAAAAATTCCTCTTTCTCCTCAGCTGAATGGGATGTGCCATTAAGCTCCACAAATAATTTCAGCAAAGTTACTATTTTCAAAGGCATGCAGTGTAGTTGGCAGTGTAGTATATGGTTTTTATAATTGCACATTTATAACTTCTGGCCACTGAAACTTTTTGACCACCATTTCACGACTTCAGATTGCCAAAATTAATGGAGACTTTAAAAAGCCCTCGCCTAAAAGTACTCTACTTTGATACCTTCAACATATCATCCAGGTTTTCAGAAAAACAACTATACCACATCTAGTTAGTCTTACAGTTCAATGTTTGTAAACTGGGGTATTTTTGGTAGAGAATATATTGAGAGAGCTCAGAGCCCTGATATAGTATTCACTTATAATTGGTAACAATAAGGGTGGTAATCATGAAGGTTCATGAAACATCTCAAGACTTAACACTCGCAAAAAAGAGAAGAGAGAGGCAACAACCAAGCACTAATAATATATTTTGCCATTGTTTATCTCACTTTAACTCAAGATCATAGAAATTAAGAACAAAAACATTATACCATGATGCGTGACCGCCCAACACAGGTCACCAATTTGGCAACTTTCCCTGAGTATTGAGGTAACAAAATTTTCCTACTAGCCATGGCAGCCAAAGTGGTCCCTACTGGTCTTCCATGTAGAGCACTAATAAAACATTGCCTAATAATTGCAGTGTTATAGCTAAGAAAATGGCCTGCTGGTTGAGGAAGCCATTAAGCCAGCTGTGTCCAGTCATTTGTAACATCTCATCTGCGGGGCTACCAAGCTTTGAGTTTACAAAATGGCGATTCGAAACAGAGAGAGACACCACAGATCAGTTAAGACCAGTGAATTCAAAGCAACACTTCATTTCTCCTTTCATAATGCTGTGGCTTTATTATCACCTTTTTGTTTTCAAATGGCAAGGTATTTTTATTTTTCACTTAAACTGTAAAAAATCAAGACTTGTCTGTTGAGCGATTACCAAAGAAAACTCATCCAGCGACTGCCTCTTTCTCAGCCGGCAAATTTCGCCGGCTGCCGCCGCTTAACGACAACCCAGTAATTGAAAAGGAGTGCGAAACAAAGATCCCAGTGACTCTCAATGTAACAACTTCTTCTCCCCTTGTTTCACACCCAATAGGAAGACAATTTGATGGAAGAATCTAGTAGTCAAACAGAGATCACTTAGGAACTTTTTCTATACAACCCCTCTATCTACAGCTATCAAATTTTGTTGAAGCAACCCCCCCTTTCTCAATGACCCATTAGTTATTGAAAGTTATGGGGGGGGGGAAGGAGATTCATTAAATTTTGTTAAACACCTTTTTCCCTTCTAAATGTGGCATTTTGGGGGGGGGGAAAGGAGGACATTTTCAACAGTCATAACAAAGATCGTTTCAGCACCCAGAAATAACAGATCTAACCTTATCCTTTGGGGCCCCTTCACATGATTCTATGTAACAGTCCAGAAGACGCTCCTCCAAGGACTGCCTGAAAAGCAGCAGAACATTTTCCAAAGTTAATCATGTTGCTAAAAACCAATACACAACTTTACCCTTCCCTGCTACAATGGCAACACATCCAATCAAAATTTACTAACTGCAAATTTTTGTCAAAAGATCTAGTGGATGCCCGGATACCAAAATACCACAGATTGAAAATGGCTGAAAATCATAGCCCCGATAATCGTGTAATTGCCTGCTGATTACAGCTGACGGAATATTACTCCTTTACTTTTTTGACACCCTTGTTAGTGCTTGGTGTCAAGCTGACTAACATTTTACAGCTTTCAGTAGTTAGAAAAAGACCAAAAGCTTCCTTGCCAAACACCAGAGAGATTTATTCTATCAAGAGAAGGGTAAAACAAGTTTACAATTTAAAGATTATCATGATACCATTTTCCTGAGCTTGGTCTTTTTCTCTTCAACAGTCGGTGGCAAGCAGAGTTTATCACCTCCTGAAAAATCAGACCATCACATCAAATGTTGAGAACTCTCTCTCCTCTATTTCACTTTCCCCTCAAAAGATTGTGAAATTTAGAACTTCAAGCTGAATACAGTGAGCCTTGAAACTTTAACCTCTAAGGAATGCATGGCTAAAAGAAATTTCTCTTAATAATGTAAATGTAATTAAAGTAACTATAAAGATGAGGACAAGAAAGATAAAATTTTCAACCAGGGAATATCATTTCAGAGATTTAACATCTATACTATGAGGGTGAAAACACTTACAACAGCTCTGTCAAAGGTCAAATGTAGGTTCCATTTACTAGGTAAATACTAAGAATAACTCCTGTTGAGTTGCACTTTTCTACATTTAAGTACTCTGTAAGTCTGAATCAACAAACCTGAGGCTTGATGTCCCCATGGCTAGCTCCAATCATTATCTAATTCAACAAAAAAACAGCTCATTTTTAACTTCTTTCAAAATTATTTCACATCTCAGTATAGCCTATCATGTAAGCATCATATGCCGTCTCTGATCTTAAAAAAACTAGTGCCCAGTTCTTTCAAGATGCAATCACCAAAGACGAGGAGAATTGTGGGTTGCAAGCTTTACTAGGGTCTGGAACTCCCAAAGATAAATCCCTCATTGTGGAAACAATGATAAGTCTAGCAGCAATGACCTGATTATTAAGTGATGGGCTTTTTGCTTCTTTAGGAAGTAAGTTATCTTGATTCTTCCAAATATGCCAAATATGCATTAGAATACCTTATTTAAAATACACTTCCTTCATTACATAGCATATCATGCAGCTTCATATATAAAATGCATGCAGGCTACAAAGTGTTTCTAGTTTTGGTTTCACAAAATTTCACAGGTGATTTCACAATTTTCAAATTTTGTTTTGAATTATTCCCAGTCATGCTAAACATGCAGATATGCAGATATCACCTTCACTAATTCATAACTTGGACACAAAAGGAAACATCTGCCAAGCATCATCATAAACTTTGACAGAAAATTATTATTATGTCAGAGCACGTGCAGTCAGAATGTAAAGAGTAAGACTCAGCACCACTTTGAAACATCTCCCACCACAAACCCATGCCACAAAAGGTAAGTTGATTTTCTATTTGCAAATTTGTGCTTTTAGCAATAATTCCTGATAAACCAAATGCCCAGAAGATGTGCCATATTTCTAATCTCTATAAAAAAAAAAAGAAAATGAATACAACTTCCCTCCAATTAGATTGCGAGTATAACTTTGTTTTTGAATTATGTTCTTATCTTCTAGTTGATTCTACAAATTATCCTAAAGCAAAGAGAGACATTGAAATAAGTACAACTCTGAAGATAGGTTAAATAAGGGCGATAGGAAAATCAATAGAGCCATAATTCAGTAAAGCCATGCAAGGCTGTCAAAAAGTTTGAAAGTAGAAGGAAAATATAAAATATTAGGCAGCCAAGTTATCATGGACCTGCATGTTGTTTTTAATTATCAGATTACCACAAGACTGGGAACTATCAACTATCTAGCTATCTACAAGTTCACATCCACTTTTGCATCTATTCTGAATATAGAATCAACTCACAAATCTTAACCTGTTACTGGCAAATTCTATTGTATGACTAAAATTCATAAATTGAAATTGTACAATGTTGCATCAACACGCATTGTAAAATGAGATGGAAGTAGCTGGCTAAAGATGGCAGACCAGTGGGTTGTTTTGGGCAGCTACCAACTCTTACTGACAGCTCTGGACATGTATCTTTCTGGCAGAAAGTTTCAACAAAGCAGATCATGTTTAGCCCCCCTCCCCCACTCAAAGGAAAAAAATGTCATAGGGTAACTATTCCAAACTATTAGCCACTTGCAGTGAAATAGGCATATTTTAGAGTACCATGATAAAAATATCATAAGGGCTTTTGTTTTCTAGCTTACTTTTATTACTTTCTCTTCTGATAAATATCGAAATACCCAACATGGCCCCAGTGATAACAGGGATATTTAGGAAAGTTCAGAGGCTTGGATTTTTTTTGTTGCGAAACAAATTAAACCATTTCAAATAAAAATTAAAGGGGTTCAGGGATCAAATCCACAAGATTTTCACTCCAATTAGTGATCGATAGTTCATTTCTCCTTGGAATATCAATACCATATCTAGCCAACAGGTAAGGAAAATAACAATACATGTCAGTTGGGGGTGGGGAGGGGGGGTCTGATTTGATTCCACACTACATTCTTAGAATGAAATCTAAAAGAAATGTATGGCTTACAGGGAGAAGTACTCTTCAGGTCTTGAAAGTGTTAGGGTGAGGCGACTTTAAAAATATAGTAATAATAATAATTAGTTCTTATTAACAAAGCAGGAGGTCTGTATGGGAGAATCTTGACCAAGGTCGCCACTACAGACCAAAGGCAGTGAGGTCTGCACCAGAGACCGAGGTCAAGATTCTCCCATACAGTCCGACCGAGCTCAGTTAAGATGTTTATTATATGGCTGTGACTTATATGCCAATTTTTTATATTCTTTGTACCTTTTTTTTCTAAACCAGTCTAGATGCCGGTCTAGATGGGAAAATCTAGACCGCTTTCAATATTGATTTCAGCCAATCAAATTTGTGAATTCAGTAGTTCCCAGTCCTTGTGAGACACAGCCCTATAATAAAGGTCTGTTGCAAAACACTTTCAAGTTCTTCTTCTGTATCAATCATATCTACTGTGCCTTTTGATAGAATCATCCATAAGTTCCCGACACCAAAATATTTGATACATGACTACCCTAGCCATCAAGACATTAAGCACTAAAAATATCTTTGTAAATGCTGACAGTGCACAGAACTTCTTCCTTGAAATGAACCGTACATTTCTGTAAGATCCACATAATACATATTCCAGAATACATTAGATACTTTCAGTCTCCAGTTGGTCCTACAACAATCGGAGATATTACTGATAGGCTATTGAGGAAATTTTACTCCTACACACATTGTGGCTTTTACAAAAACTAACACCCGAGCATAATTAACCTCTAGGAACCTCATACCTGTCCATTCTAGCAACAAGGAGAATTTTACACCATCATTCATCCTGTGAGAATTTTCTATGTAATAATGCAGTTTGCCATAATGCCTAAGTGAGTTTTCAACCCTTAGGGTTAATTAGTACCACAAAAACTTGAGCGAGTTGTCGTCAACATGACAGGAAATTTTCACTGTTCCTGACTAACTCCATGATAACCTTATACAATACCTCCAGGGGTAGTAACACATCTGCACCAAACAACACTAAAAAACAATGTGCCCAAAGAACTCCTCTTCAGACTTCTAGAACTTTAAGTACTAAATGGGTTTGTTTACAACCAATGCTCTGTTGTTCAATCACAACATCAGCATTAAATCACTTAAAGTTTAACATATGGAGTAATTTCACATTTGCAGGAGACACAAGTATTTTTCAAACATTACAAATTTAGCAGACACATGTTTAATCTCACTTTCACAGAAGGGAAAACACTGCAATTCCTCAAAAATGATCTAAAATCCTGAAAATCTAATAAAAGATAGTACAAAGACAAAGGTCTGGAAAATTACCATTTTTTTTACAATTTGCTTGCTCTATCCTACTGATGAAAAACTGCATTGCATGATATATCCTTTAGTCTGGAGTAAGTCAAATAGAGTTTGCCATTCATTGCTTTGCCTAATGTATGTTGAAGTTGGTCCTAAACCTTGATTTCAGTCAGTCTGCAAGTCAATTCTGATATTATCTTCTTATCAGCAGTGAACATGGTAGTCGTTGGGGACAAATTGGCACCAAAATCAATAGCTACAGCAAAATCAAACTAAACAGAAAATTTTCAATTTGAAGGCTGGTCTTGCAAGTAAGGAAAACTGGCTTATAAGATCGCAACGAGTTAGGTTAACATTAAAACTACATTTCAAGAGTGACCCTTGAAATCTTTTGCTTAGGACGATTTCATTTTCAACAAGTACCATTTCTAGGGTGTCATAAAAAAGGCACTATAAATAACAACGACTTCTTATAATATCTCGAGCTTTCACACAGAAATTAATGCATAACGGACATTAGTAGCCAGCTATAGACAGTGTTTCATGTTGGCATTTACGACTTCTTTCAGATTCAAAAAAATTAAGTACGATCACGAAACAACATAAACATAACTTGCTTGAAAGCGTGTTTCGCTTTCAATTAACAGTCACTTGTCATTCTTGAACTTCCGTTTCGATGCCAGAGTTAAGGTTTTACCATGAAAAAATTGCCTTTAATGATGTCTACAACAAAGACACAAAGAACATATACATATTATAAATATTGTTCACAGCCTGCACTGCTAATATCACATTTTTTGCACGTTCCTCGCTCCACATGACAACATTGATACGCGACAAGGCACGCCAAATTAGAGCGCGTAGAAAAATTTCTTGAGGGCATACGCAAAATCGCATAGTCAAGACTGGCTGTCTCTGGATCTTAGACAGGAAGGCTGTTTCGTGATAGCTTAAATCTACAAAACTCACTCATAATCCATCTACCAATATTTCAACTGTTACAAATTGTCGCGTAGATTATTGACGTTTAAGATCGTCTGTATGTGAACAATTCTGGCCGCAAGAAAGAGCTTAGGAAAACCACAGTAACAACACGAAATAGCTGGCGGGGTCAAGTACACATCTCGAGAAGTAAATTAAACTCGCAAATTGCCCAGTGGCGACTTTATCACTCGAGTTATCTCGTCAAATCGTCTGTGCGAAATTAGTGGCGAATTCGTCGGGTTTCCATTTACATGACAATTTTACTCAATTTTAGTACACTTAGCCGTAAAATTCTGTGTAAATAAATTTTTAACTCATTAGCGGTGAATTACTAAAACAACGTCAGTTCGAGATTCAAAGTGTTATGCATCATTTCACGGCAAAACATTGAACCAATTAAACACGTCCACTGTTCGTGTCATTTTTCTCATTCAACGAACGATAAAACACAAACAATCAATATTTCTCGCATCGCTTCGCCGTCGCTTTGACGGCACGGAGGCATTTTAAAGCGCCAACTTTTTCCCACAATCGAAGAAGACATCTTTCTTTTTCCCTCAAGGTATGCGACGGTAAAGAGGAACTGGCTGCACTGACAATTACGAAGTAATTTCCTCCGCACGTGTGCCGCCATGCTCGGTGGAAAATATGGGCGAGTAAATTTTATGCACAGTATACCTGGCGCCTTCCGAAGAATGGGTAATTGACCTCAGGGCACAACGCACGGCCTTGAAAGAGAAGCCGAAAGCACAAATACTACAGCTTTGTCTACCAATGATCTAATATTTATGCGCAGAATACATTTGCGTTCCTCGCTGAAGTGCTTGAAACTTAGAAACTTCAATATCCGCGCCACACGGAGGAAAGAGAAGTCCAGGCGCACACCCCAAGGAAAAGTACACAAATAGAGAGAGCCTTTACCTCCAATTAGCACAGTGTTTATGCTTGTCTCCTCTTATACTTTCGATCCAGCTTATCACGACAAGCATCTTTCATTTTCGTCATACTTTAGGTGGAACTGTGAGTCAACAAGAATAAGATAAATCCTGTTTCGCTTTTGTTTGCACTGCTATCGAATGACCTGGGGCGCCATTTTGGCAAAAGACGGTGAATGGCCTATCACGAGACCGCGGTCGGAGCCACAAAGAAGTTCCAAAAAGACAGGGGTGGAGTAATCACACGCGATATGCACTTGCAAAAACTCACGATTTTTGTATTTTTCTGATAAAAATTCAACTTTTTTGTGGTACTGAATAGTTTATTTGACCCTTTAAAAGTCTTCCACAGTTGAAAATGTTAGTTCCTTTCACCGATGTAAGTTAAAATATTTGACCCATGTATTACAATCCTACCCTCCCCGTCCATAGCAAAAACATGTCTATCAAAACACAAAATCACCCAGTAGAAAGAAAATATTGCTTAATTCTTTAAATGAAGAAATTTAGTCTAATTTTGAATAGAAATGGACGAAGAAAAATCTGATGAAAACAGCTGATGTTAAATATTGGTCAACCTCTTACGACGAATAAATAGATACATTTTTATATATCTACGAGAGCGTCACCTGTCCCCTCCCCGATAAGGTTTCGACTGCCGTGCCTCTAGGTACTCCCATAAAAAAAAAAAAAGAACCTCAACAAACGTAGTAATCGCTTCTTATGAGTTGGCTAGACATGATGTCGCTATCATAGAGCAGAGCCTTTCTTCTCCATCACGTATGTGAAAGAGAGCGATGGGTAACTCGCCTTGCTCTAGAAGAGAGCAACTGGAAGTGAGCCCAGAAGTTTTGGTTTGTAGATTGAAACGAGCTGCTTACAAAGGTTCTAACAAGCATCTTCGGGAGCTTTTGAAAGCTGGTGCACCGATCGACGGTTGCCACAAATACGGGAAGACTGCGCTTCACGAAGCCGTGAGGCACGGTCAAATTAGATGTGTGGAAATACTTCTGAACCATCGAGCCAACGTAAATATATCAACGTACGATGGACTTACACCGCTACATGAGGCTGCCGAGCAAGGCTTTGTAGATTGTTTGACAGCACTTATAAATCATGGAGCCGAGATAAACGCCGCGACGAGAAGTCAGTGGACAGCACTGCATTATGCTGCAAGAAACGGACATAAGGACTGTTTAGAAGTCCTTTTACAACATGGGGCTAATGTAAATGCGACCGCAAACGGAGGTTGGAGACCTTTGCATACGGCTGTTCGTCATGGGCATACAACGTGCGTCGAACTCTTACTCTACTATAACGCCGAAGTGGACCCTCCTTTGGTACCCTCGTATCGGGTAAGAAAAGCGTGCGATTCACGCTTCGCACTTCTATAGCGTAGTGCTGTTTCATTGAATTGTCGTGATTTTATTGTAGTTGAATGTTCTTGCACAGTATCAAATCTGCATGCTGCCCCGTGTTTATTAGCTGGGCGATATTTTTTTGTGTTCGGGCAGCACAGTTGGGGGGAGCTGTGAAAGCTATAAATTTTAAAAGGAGGATATGTTTTTTGCCGATCCGAACCAGCTTCAAAGAATCGTAGCATCGCATTAATAAGGACGATTGTTAACTCAAGCGTTGATCTTAAACCGAGAAACAAGAACTTTTCCGTTCGAGAAGTGTCAATCGGACAAGCATATGTAAAGCTTCGAATAACCGTGATTGAACAGTTCAGAGATGCCCGTAATCGAGTAACCCTATAATTTTAATTGCAGTTACAGAAGTTCTGTTTTTTTTTTTTTTTTAAAAAGGTCGTATACTCCGCAGGAGACGGAAAATTCTCGTGTATTCGTACTCCTCAGCAGGCGAATAACATGGCAAGAGAGATTTTTCTTTTTTAAATCGCTCCACTCGCCCCACAGGCTCAAATCGCTTTATTCATAACAAAAATTGACGTGTTGTAATTAATTTTTAGACTGACTAGGTATTACGTTTCTTTTGGGCTTCGTGTCGAAATCTTTTATTCTATTTCTAAATGGAAGACACTCTATTATTTTGAAGAGCTGCTGGATTTTCATTTATCCGTATTTTGAGTCTGGAAGTCTTAAAGACAAAAATCTGTCTCCATCAAGTCTGTCCATATTGGAAGTTCATTGTATTTTGTGACAGGCTGCGCTAAATATAATCCCTCATATCTTCATACCGCGAAAAACTTATAATAGGCTTTGGATTATTTTCTCTCGAGTCATTTACGGCGGAGAATTTAACGTCGATGTGTTCATATACCCACAGGAGTGCGACTCCGCGGCTAGGGTATATTTTGATAAAATTCAATTTGTCTGAGTAAAATCCGCAGTGGAGTCCAAGGACCTTGACAGTGATTGTTTTTTATACGCACAATTCATAGTTTCTCCCTTAGTATTCACAAAATATGTCATATTTTTGATTAATGGCCAAGGGCCAATTGTATTCTGTTGAATCTCAAACTTCTCGCTAAGCATCTGGTTTTAATTTACCCGGCGAAAGAAAATTTGAAATGTACATTTATTTCGTTGTTGATTTCAATATTTGAGACGTAACTTTAACGCAGATTTTTTAAACATTTAAGCCTTTTTTCAAGTGTTCCGAAGCTAAAGAATGTTACGAGGTGGGGTTACTGCTATATTACTTTCAGTTATTCAAGTTTCTAGAGCCTGTGATGGCCATTCCAAGAGCGTTCAAGGACTCAAAGAATTGTCTTTTTTCTTCCGACTTGTAGTGCTTAATTCGGCGGTCGTGGTGTAAATTACAGTTACTTCTACTATTTCTTTTCGGCTCGTAGAGGGCCAGAATTCAGGTAGAGAACAAGAAAGGAAGTTTTGCCCTGCATCACAAAAGGATGGCCAGATTGTTATCTTATAGCAGATAATAAATTGTGCTGCCACGGTATATGAGTCCCTTATCAGGGTGAATGTGTAAGTTATGCCAAAAATTTAGCCCCCCAGATTGCTTGACCCAGCTTCAAAACCTTACTACATTACTTACACCATCCTCAGAAGACTCAAATTTAGTAACAAGATGTTATGTTATCCCAATATTGAAAGGTGATCAAGATGTCGCAGTGACCATTCAGTGTACAGTTTCAAACCCTGAGGACATATAATTCACATATGCTTCATCATATTCACCAGAACCATTCATCACAAGGGTTTTAATATTTTAGAGTGCTTAGTAGTTTTCTAACAAGGTCTTATCTTTGACTTGGCAATATTGCCTCTTGGATATACCAAACTAACACGAGATTGGCTTGTTTCAATAAGAATCTTGTCTTTTTTTCCTCTAATAAGAATTTTTCATGATGTTAAATTCTGACCATGTGCCACAGAAAGGTAAATTTGCATGTTTTGAACTTAGTTCAGGGTGGCCTTAAGTTAGAACCATCTGCCAGTCTGACAGGTGAAATATGAAAGAAATTGGCTCCTTATTGTGTGAAAGACTTTCCTTGTTTAATCATCTTTAACACTTTGAAAGCTGTTGTGCTCATGGTCTCTGCTAGTTGAACAAGCTGCTCTGATCTTTACTCGATTAACCTCTGCTGAAACCTCCCAGGGGTGAAATTAATTCACTTACTTGCTTAACACAATGAGTTAATTGCTGCAAACACCTTCTTATGCAAAGAAATTAACTTCGTTTCAAAGTTAACACTGGGACAGTTGATCAGTGTGGATATGTTGTGCTTATTTTTGCTCTCTTTTTGTTCTTCGTGGCTTAGTTGTATCATTTCCACAATTTTGATAATACTGCTACAAGGAAAATTAACATCATTTGTAAGTTCTTTGAGAGACAATTGGAAAAAAAATTAAAAAGGAAAATTATCTTAGAATTTATTATGAAAATTTCACCTGGTGAATTTCCTTCAGTGGTAATTGGTAAAATCTTTTCGAAAATTTTGTAGATTATTAAATCAGTTTGTGACCACTTGATGTTTTTGCTATTTACGTTTTATTAATTCTTTAATTTTAGTTGTATCATTGGGGATTCCTTAGTAAAATGCTAAGAGCGATCGTCAACCAGGCAGTGTTAATTATGTAAAATATTGATAGTGAATAGAACCCAGTTGGCTATGTTTTGTCTAGCCTTGTCATAACACTTGAGTTGGGGAAAAAATATTATCAAGTGCATGTCTGCTCTTAACCAAGTTCAGTCTGTTTTGTCATAAAACAAACCAGCAGTTACCCTTAGCTACTCTTTAGTAGAAACAAAATATCCTTGTGTTGTAATGTTCCAGGTGTAAAAGTGCTGATCCAATTTGACTATGTCATTGCTAGCCAAGCAATTTGAAATTCTGCAGAGACATACAGGCTTTGTGCCGAAATCATGTTGATTGGTTTAATAAATTCCTGAGTTTAGAGTTCTTAATAATCTTAAGAATTCAGGTGGTTATCCCAGCAAACATCACGTCATTGCTGCAGTATATTTCTCCTTTTTTTATTCTTCTGTTGTTTCTTATTTCAGCAGGAAGAGTATTGAATCTTTATCAAGGTCACTGAAACTGTTAAGTGAATTCGTTTTTAATTTTTCTCATCTCTTGAGGTTGTGGCCATTGAGCTATTTTTAGTAAAAAAATATTCAAGGTCATTTGTTATTTCAAGGGTCAGTATTAAAACACTTTATACATTTTCTGTGGTTTTGTACCAGAGAACAGATTTATCCAGTTGAAGTGTTCCCTATGCACTAATAAGGTTTAGGCTATTGTCTGGAAGTTGTAAAGGTACTTTTAACAACTTGAGGATGATTCTATTCTGTTATCAAGCATCCTGTCCGCTGCTTGTCAAAATGTATATCCAATTGATTTTGTGTGCAGCTGGTAAACGCTTAAGGAAAATTCTGAACAGTAATCTTTTGATCCTTGGAAACTGTCCAAAATACTGTCTTGGATTACAAGACTGCAGAGTTGTAATCACATAATTCTGTCTGTGAATTTTCATTTTAATTATTACGGTAGTTGTGATACTTTTTCCATATTCAATATTCAAAGCTCTCAGGATCTGCCTTCAATCATTAAACTGTATTTTTTTTTAAATATATATCAGAAATTAGGTAGAAGGTTATGACTGGGTGAAAGGCAGTGTGTTTTGTTTTGTTTCATTTTTTCTGTTTTGTTGTATTTTTTTTTTTTTTAAGGTCTGCCTTTTGTTCATATTAACCAATGCTTCTGTCCTTAACGCTTCAACACTTTTACTCCCCATGTCTACCCAATAACCTTATCTGCCTGGACATCAGTCTGCAAATTCTCAACACCCTTCTCTTTATGTTTATTTTGGTATTGACATAGAGAATTTGTTCAATGACATCAACAAAGAGCTTCTTTAGTTGGTGATGACTTTCCTTATTCTTGTGACCTTCATTAATGTTGATTAGCCCGTGTGAGGTTGTTAGTCATCAAATGTAGCTCCAATGATCCAATTCTTAATTTTCCCCCATAGTTGCTTCACATTTCCGTGTAAATTAGTTTCAGGAATTTGTTGTTTGATCAAGATAACTTCTACCTGATAAGTTTGAGAATTCTCATTACCTGTTTTCTTAATAATGTATGAATATCGTAGAGAGAAGTTACATGTGCATCACTTTCTGCTGTAATTTATAAAATTTGAGCTCTGAGAATCTGGCATTTTAAAAGTCGACCAACATCCTTTGGTTGATACTTCTTTCTCTTCTCTTCAACCTTCGACTTGAAAACATATTGACGAGTTACGGAAAAATTGCATTTTGGTCTCTCTTGTGAGGGAAAGGGTCAAGCAACATCTCTGGTTGATTTGTGCAGAAAATAAAATAAAAAAGGAGAAAGCAGGGTGGAAAGTCACAGGAAATAATACTGAACTGAAATGAAGGCTTTGCATTAAAAGTAAATTGAATTGATTAAAAGTACACTTTAGGGGGAAAATTTTAGGAAATGGCTAATCAACCTTAATTTGCGACAGGCATGTTTCAGTTTGAAGGTGCTGAGACCCTCAGCAAGGTCCATCTATACTTAGATCATCAGAAGAATGTGAATGGAATGGGAAATTGAATCAGTACTGTAAATTTGATTCCTAAAGCTGCCTTAATTGTTTTAGATTCTTCAAGTTCCCCTCCACCATGCAGCAGAATATGGACATCTAGCTTGCTTAGAAGCTCTTCTTAGACAAGGCGCAGATGTTAATTCTAAGACAGCAGAAGGCTGGACGGCAATGCATTCAGCGGCACTGTATGGCCGTACATCATGTGTGGAAGCACTGATCAGGTACCTATTTTCCAGGCCATTAGTAGGACTAATAACTTGTATAATTGGTACAATTTCCTTGATTGTGATTGGTGGATGACATGTCCAAAAGCTGTTTCTAGTGCTTTTCCTTTTGCTTTTGTCAAAGATTGTACTGGGTCAGGGTTTGAAGATGGAATTACAAAGCCTTCCTTCGATACATTCATTACTTTTTCCTGGGGATTGTAATGGTTATGTTTAATTAATAACAGGACTTAATGGCATTTGATTTAGTCAGAAGTCCTACTTGTGATTAAATCTACCCATCAGAGACTGAATTTTAATCCACTCAGATGTATGAGTGACCATTGGTTGCAGCTGAAATTTCTGTGTATAGTGTCAACTTTTTTTAAAGAATCAAATTTTAAATAATATGCAGCATGATATGTATATGTATCTGGTACCCAGTAGGGTATACTAAGGCTTTTCTTGAAAATGACTTTTTTTAGTGACAGTTGCTGAAATGGAGGCAACTTGAATGAGTGGTAATTGTTCATTGATTTTCGCACTCCCAAAACCTGATTGATTTACTGGTGAGCTGCAGGGATGTTTACTTAACAAGCACTCATTAACTTAGAGTTTAATTTGTTTGAATATCATGGATGTATTTATTAACTTATTGTCTTGTATGGCATATTCTATAAAAGTTTAAGAAGCAGAAAATGAAAATTTTACAGTACAGTGCATCTGATTCAAGCAGATATAGAAACTATATTTGGGCTGAAGAGATTGTACAGAGTTGTTTGTAATGTGTAGTGTTCAATCATGACAGTCATCGAATTTTTTATGGAGATTGAGAGGAAATTCTTACTTTTGCATGAGTTATTCTTTTAAAAAACTCCTCCACCAAGCTGTAAAGTAGGCAATGAACATTGAAACATGCTCAGATGTGTGATTTCATTACCGGGAAAACTGTGTGCAGATAACAGTAACTTTAACTTTGCAACATTCTCACTTCTTCTTGAATGTAGAGTGAAACTGTGTGCAGATAACTATTATATAATAGCTAACAACAGCATATCTTTAGTCGAATTAGTATTCCATGGGAGTAGCATCAAAACAAAGCAACCTTTGGTGAATATGTTTTGAATAAAATGATCTCAAAGTTCTGCATTATTTCCATATCTTTGATAGAAAAAGGCTGCATAGCTAGGAGAATTTTTAAGAAATTAATTTAATAAAATTGACGGCCTCTACGTAAGAAGTGTAAAGTTCAACAATATCTCTATATTAGGTATGGAAAGAATGCAATCCTCTTACAATTGCGTATTGCTCCAGTATTTCTAATACGTTTCTTTTTTTTTCACTCAGTTATTATAAGCACTAAATTTAGAACTTTAAGGTGTCAAGCTGCAATTTATTGAGTTAAAAAAAAGTTGCACATTGTGAATTGAATTGGAAAAGTTTTGTCTTTCCCAAAGACTTGCTTTGGTAAAGTTTTTCTGTGGAAGGTGTATCTATAGTTGTTTAGGACAGTTTTTCATGAAAATCTTCTTGATAACTGGTTTGATTTGCTTTTAAATCAATTAGCTTTCAATTTGATCAGCTATGGAAAATTCTGCATCTTTAAGACAATTTATGAGTGTTGACTGTGAACAGTTACTTGTCATGCAAATTTGCATGCATGAAATGGGTTTCTTTCAGGTAAGATTGTTTTTGCAAAAGATAAAGTGGTCAAATTACAAATCAAATAGACCATAGTCCCTTTGTAAACACTGTTTTACTGATGTTAAAGCACTATTTAAGGTTAAGTGATTTTTTTCCCACCAGGCTTAAGTTTAATAGCCATTATTAGAGCAGACGGGAGGCTATATTTTCACTAAAGAAGGAAATTATTTTAAATTCCTGTTAATCCATTTGTCATTATAACATGTATGCACTCAAGGTTGTCTGCAGGTAATATATCATCCTTGCTGTTGTGAATTGATTAATTTCAGTCCCTTGACAAAGAGTGATGGTTAAATTTGGGCAATTAAAAAAGACTAACATGGCCTGAAAATGTTCTTCTATGTTTGCAAGAGAAGAACATGCCATGTTAGTCATAAGAAGAAGACATTCATATCTGCAGACAGGGATTTAGTAAGATGCCGGCTTTGTCATGCAATGGTAGAAAGTTGAATATGTCAAGGGACATGCATGTATCACAGAGTTTTTATTAAACTGGCATTGCTGATTAATTGGTTCTTTTTAATTATTGTAACAAAAATCTAGAAAGAATTGGATTGTGCGAGGAAAAAAGAGGCAACCATGTATCAATAAAAACAAGTCTGGCTGAGAATGAAGAAGATTAGCACAGATAAAAAAAAGCTAAAGGATATAAATTTTCACATTCACAGACTTTGACCTATAGGACAAACAGAAATTATGTTGTTTCTTCAACACTCAAAATGTATCAGTTGTTTTAAGGCTTTATGAGTTCTGTTTGCTCTGTTATAGTGTACCAAGCTTCTTTTTCTTTTTTTTTTTTCTTTTAACATTCTAACTGAAGGGGCTGTGATCATGAAACCTCGGAATAATAAAAGCTTGTTTTCCACACTGCTAGAAATATGTCAACCAACCTTGTCACTAGGGTAATATCCTCTCCTTGCAAAACATTTTTTAATTCACTTCCCAGTGTTTACTTTCATCTCATCAGGGGGCAGCAAGCTAAGTAAAATGTCTGATTAAATAAATGTTTCATTGATTAAATGTTTTCAATGCATTTCTGTTGCTAGAGTAAAAACCATCATCATGTGATGCTAATTCATTTGACCCTGAGCTCTTCCTGAATTATTCTGTAATGTGAAGAGACAACTTGAAGCTCTCTCTCTCTCTCCTTGTAGTGTCTGAAGTCTGTGATACGTATTTCTCACCAAAGAGATAAAGCTTGAATTTAAATAATATGTTTCTACTGCCCTAGTCCTGTTCTTCTAAGTTTGTTTGTTTGTTTTAAGAGGCAGTCATCAGGGTACAATTTTAACACCTTGAAAGCAACTATGAAGCAGTAAGTGTCGTTACTGAGGAGTCCACGAGGCTTCAGCAGAAAGAAATTTTTAGGTCTGTCGTGTCACATCCGTCAATTAATCTGATGACATCTGTACTCATACAACTGAAAGTCTTTTGTTATGCTATGTCTCTGATGGAAAGACCCATTGCAAATTGTATTATATGAAGTTTGAATGTATATAAACTCTCATTGGCAAATTTTTAGTAAGGTGAATTGGGATCAAATTGGTATACAGTTTATTTCTAGACTGAACAACCAAAATAATGTTTGCTGAAACTAAGTATCTTTTGGCTATTTTTTTCCTGATAGAAAACTTACCAACAACGTAACTTAAAATCATTGAGATGAAAAGGGAAAATCCTAAAACCAGTTTTGCAGTAAATTTTGAAACAACTTTTCAATGTTTTCATAACATCTCTAGAAGGTCAAAACTGGATAACCTTGGTTAAAGACAGAAAGAATTGTTGAGATAGCCAACTGAGTGGTGACAAAAAGTAATTCAACTACTTTTAATTTCAACAGATATGGTGCAGATGTGAATGCAAAGACAGTATGTGTTACACAAGGGACATCGTATGACGACACACCGTTACATTTGGCTGCTAGGCACAGCCACACAAAGTGCATCCAAAGACTTATACAGGCTAATGCCAATTTATGGACTAAAAATTGCCTCGGTTTAACAGCCGAAAGGTTTGTCACAGATTCAAGATTGCGGGATTGGATGGAAAATATGCGATGTAGACCCAGGTCTCTACAACTGCAGTGTTCTGCAGCAATCAGAAACTATGTTAAACCAGACAAAACAAAAAATGCATTGAAGCTCCCGCTTCCTTCACACCTATTAAGACAAGTACTACTTTTTGAACAAGACATCAAGATTGTTTAGCACAAAATGGTAATATTAGTACTGCTACTATCAAGAATGCTAAAATTCAAAGCCCTGGAAATGAAAATCAGACCTGTAAGTTTTGGTAAACCAAGAGCAACTTCATTATGACTCAAGGCAAGACAATGTGACTCAAGAAGGACTTATTTATGGCTATGTCTACAGCTTTATCTCAAAGGTGCCTCTGCAGTGCAATTCTTTACTGGTCTAAGTTGCAACACAGTCTAGGAGTTACACCATGAAGGACAACTTTATTATCATCCCAAGTAATAAAAACTTCTGAATCATTAGTTATATTCTTTCAAATTTTCAGTTTTTGTGTTCACATGACATCATCCAGTTTGGATGACGCATTCAATTTGATTTGTTTTAAGATCAGTTTTGATATTCCGATGTACAGTTTACTGTACATTTGGCTTATTTTTTCATGTTTGAAAGTTCACAAGCGTTATATTTATTGTCATAATGCTTTTCACACCTTAGTCAGGGAGCTGGCTTTACTTTGGTATGATTATCTTAAAAAAAAATTAATTATTTCTAGGCCTTTTGAAAAACAAATGCCAATCCATTGACTCCTGAGATCTGATTAATAATCTTCTCTCATGACTACTCTTTTTTTGTTGTGAATTGGACACAAGAATTTTGGTGACTTAATTGACATCTCACGAGAAACTTGCTTGTTCTCATTCCCCACATGTGAAGAGATTTTACATTTTAATCACTCCTGGGAGTCAAAGCGTTCAAATGTTACTCAGTCAACCATACTTGAAGTTATGTTGAGTTGCCTTATGGTCATGGCATTGAATTTAATTGGCAGTAGAAGTTAAATGTTGGAAGGACATGCAGTGATATCCACAGTACTAATGACAGTTTTAGTCAGGGTTCTTGAAAAATTTTCGACAACTTTTTTTGACAACATTGTTTTTGCATTTCATGGGCTCCATAATATGCAAAACCAGCAAGATAGAGACAACAACTTTCTTCCTCTGATTCTGAACTAAAGAACTATCAATCTTGCATTTCTTTAAAAATGAAATTTATATAAATTATTGTTATTTAAAATGAATTCTAAGTCAAAATAGTTGTAAAACGCTTTGATTTGTGCTTTTACTTTTTTCTAGGTACGTATTCATGATGCTTAAACAAAGCAGAATACATATTAAACTAGTGTTAAATCATTTCAACCTGGAATCATGTTAAACTACAAGAGAGATATCTTTTGTGACCAGGACATATGCTTTAATTAAGAATTTCTGTGAAGAAAATTTGTTTATGTTGTCAAAAAGTTGAAGGAAAGATGTGGAAAATGGTATTTTAAAAGTTTTAATCTTGGTCATGCTGAAATGTGTCTTAAGTACAAGCTAAAAGACCAGAATCTACAAACTACAGGAAATGAAATGTAAAACTTTAAATCTGAATCTTTTTTTATGTGGCAGGAAGTAAGTTTATTTTGTGCCCCTCTCTCAGAGGACCATGGAGTCAGAATGTTGTTGTGTAATCTTAAGGTTGCCAAGTATAGAAAAAAAATTATTTTTATCTTTGAATGGTTGTACTCAATGGCTTACCAGGGCTGCAGGCGCAAACGTGGAGCCTGGAACAGAAGTGACACTCTCATTTCCAGTCCCACTCCTCTTTTGCTTCACGCGCAAACAAGTTATTAAAAATTATTGGCATTTATAACGTCCCATACATTTGATATACTTCACATATGGATTAAATGTTTGTCTCCTTTTTAGAGAGGCAACGGCGAGAAAAGCGAAATTGCTACAAATAAAGTAAGATAGCAAAGGTTCTTGTTTTGTGTCATACCTGGTTTATGTTACCTTGTTTCCGCCATAGGCCATTGCAGAAACGTGAAAGGACTGGGACGAGTTTCTTATATATATTGTATTGAAAATCTAAACATTTCAACTGAAAAGCTACTGAATGAAAAGCTACCCAGCCAAGTTTGAGAGTTTTTAGCGGAAGTGTCTAAATTGGAGCCTTGCAAAAGTTGCAAAAATTCCATACAAACTCTTAAAATTTTTTGCTCTGTCTACCCAATCCATACAAACCCTCTATTTTAGGTGATATTTGAAAAGCTGTCATTTTCCCATTTTCCTCCTTTACTTTACTTTACTTTAATCATTTTCTCAACAAACTTAACACATATACAAAGCTGAGGGGAAGGCCAAAAAACAGGAACAGGTACCCTTACAAAAGGCCACTCAAAAAAGAAAACCACTACACATACAACAGGAACTTATCATATTTAATGAGAGTGATTGACGGAGGTTTGGAAGGCAGAGGAGAGTGTATGCTCAAACACCGAGGAGATGTTGGCTGGCTTCAAGGGGGTGAATGATAGCCGTATCGTGGAGGATATCGTCATTGGCTCAGCAGATGTAAAGGCTTTATACCCGAGTTTAGACATACCTTTTACAATAGAGAAGGTTTGTGAAGTTTTTTGCATCAGCGGTGTACGGGCAGATGGTCTGAACAAGGAAGAACTAGGGCTGTATCTAGCAGTAAACTGATCTGAGGCGGAGTTGGAAGTGGCGGGGTTGCTACAATTCTGCCCTCGACGTAAAACCAGCGGAGGCCGGCCGCCCACCATCACGGGTTGTACCCTAGATGAGGATAGGACCAAGAGGTTTATGACTTTGCTACCTCCGGCTGAGGATCCCGACGAAGATACAATGAGGAGAATGTTCACTGAAGCAATGAAAGAGGTTCTTTCTTTTATAATGAGAAACCATTTGCACAAGTTCGACGGCCAGATAAAGCTGCAGTCCAAGGGGGGTCCGATAGGCTTACAACTTACTGGCGTTCTTGCTCAGTTGTTCATGGTATGGTGGGATAGGCAGTTCAAGATCAAGATGGATGAGAACGGGTTGAGGGTGAGGATGTACAAGAGATATGTCGATGACATAAATGTCGTTGTAGATGTTCCCGGTGCAGGCCTTAGGTTTATTGAGAGTGAGGGTAGGGTTATCCGAGGTGAAGACCTCCTTGAACAAGAGCTGGCCATGAAAGCTGATAAAAGATGCATGAATCTGGTGTAGAAGATTGGAAACAGCATTCACCCGTCCATTTCGTTAGAAGCTGATTACCCTTCGCAACATGTAGATGGCAAACTGCCCATCCTTAATTTGAAAGTTTGGGTGGAGTCGAGGCGGGCACAGGGTGTGGGAGAAGGAGAGAATAAAGTGAGTGTGGTTTTGCACGAGTTTTATTCTAAGGATGTGGCATCAAAGTGTGTGGTCAATGCCAGGTCAGCCATGTCTTGGAGAGGTAAAAGAACCATACTCACTCAAGAGGTCTTGAGGATATTATTCAACTGCAGCAGGGAGCTTCCTTGGGAAGTTGTTGTCGGCCACGTGAACCACATGATGTTGCGCCTACAGTACTCTGGCTATAATCAGAAGTTCAGAACCGAGGTTGTGCGGTCAGCACTGAAAGCATACAATCGTATGATAGAGCTGGACGCGAGTGGTGAGCAACCCTTGTACAGACCGAGAGAATGGAAGCGGATAGAACGAGATCAGAAGAGAAGAGAAAAGCGGGAATCCTGGTACAGAAAGGGAGGGTTTGACACGGTGACATTCGTGCCAGCAACTCCAGCCTCGGAGCTGAAAAATCGGTACATGGAAGAGGTTAAGGGAGCAGGATT